GCCATCTCTTGCTACATATCTCTCTCTCTCTCTCTCTCTCTCTCTCTCTCTCTCTCTCTCTCTCTCTCTCATATTTGTTGGAGTTCAGTAGGCTAAATGACTTCCATTTGTGCTTGAGAACTAGGAGCCTCGCTCTCTCTCACATGAAAGGCTAGTGTGTATGTGGGTAGAGGGCAGTAATTACAGCTATTCTCCAGAGCTGATAGAGGTCTCGGCCGCAGCAGTGGTCACACCCCTTCCTGTCTGACAGATCTGATCCATGACTCTGCCGCTGAGTAACAACCTGAAGACTCACATGATCTGCCTCAACACCTCACAGTTAAGACTCCACTTGCTAATTAACTGTTTAAACATCAGAGTTACAACCCCACTTCATTAGTTTTATGCATTTATTTTATTGATTGAACATGCTAACATTTAGTGAATTTTTTTTATTAATAGATTAATCTGATTAACATAGAGATATTATGTATTACACACACACTCCCACACACACACCTTTTATATATAATATATTTATATTTATATATAATGTTTGTGTATTTATATACGTAATAAATATACACAGTACAGTAAATGTTTACTATATATTTTTTCTAATTATAATATATATTCTTATATTAATATTTTTCATTATATTTTAATGTAATTATAGTGTTTATATAATTATATCCTTTCATATATATATATATATATACACTACATGAACATCTTCCTTCCTTCCCTATGTTTACAATATATTTTAATGGATATTTTAATATTAATATATTTTTATATCTGATCTCAGTGAAGGGGGGTGAGGGCACATATAATATTTTGTTAAAGAAAATAATCAAACGAAATTGTACATTGAATCCCTGATTATTTTAAGGAGGAAACTTATATTTTTATATAAAATGTATATTTTTATTTGTAAAAAAAAAAAAAGGTCTGTATGTGGTAAGAATGAAGGTTTAATTGTCAGATAAACGTACAGGAGTGAATTCAGGTCAATTAAATTGACCTGAAGTCAACTCGTTTAACATTTACAGCAAGTTCAATCCAAACAATTTTAGCAAGATTATACAGTCAGAGTTCGATTGTTTTTTACACAGCGTAGCCTACAAACACTGTAGCGTATTTGGAGAACTGAAAGGACAGATGTGTAAAATATAACGTAGTGTAGATAAGTAAAACATATGAGGTGTGTAAAATGTCTTATTATTTGAGGCTCCGTCAATCTGCCTCCGCCAGCGGCGGTGCTTGTCTGCGTCTGGGCGTTTCGCGCATGCGCAGTCATATCTCTCCTTTTTCCAGGCCAGTGCGGCAGGCGGACCACAGGGAGAGGGAGAGATTTTAGGAAGGACAGTTACAAAAGTTAAAGAAGAGGAGAAATCATGACACAAAACAGTGAACTCGTCGATCGCCTCTCCTCGCCATTGAATTTGACATCCCTCATCATGGCGCTCGTGTCACCTATGAAATATTGATTTTTGTCATGTACGCCAACTTGAGGATATGCTGCCGGGAAACGGATGAGAGCTACCGCAGTCGCCTGGAACTGCTTGCTGGATATTGAATCCGGCGCTCGGGGATGCAGTTGGGATTGATTTCCTGTATATAATCAATAAATGAGAGGAGGGTTCTTGGACTACACGAGAGCTCGGGCCGATCCGTTATATTTCACATCACATCTAAGCATGGGAATGTGGTCCAGCGCTCTGATCTCATAGTCACTCCCGCGGGACGTGATGCAGCCACGCGGAGATGTCAAGATGGGAGATGCCGCAGAGAGCAAGGAGAGCAAGAGGACGTTCATCGTGCCGACGATCAAATCTGTCGATCACTATGATTTCACCAGGGCCAAGATATCGTGCAGTTTGACGTGGCTCATCGCCAAAGCCTTTGGATCTGGTAGGCGGCGCTTACGGATTGAAAAATCGTGTTATAGTGATGGGGGAAGTTATCACAAGGGCTATACACGATCTCAGTGGTTTAATATAGAATTTTTCAAACGGAGGTCCGGGGACCACATGGGGCCGCAAGGGAATGCTAGGGGGTCAGTGGAAATGATATGAGAAACGAGAGTCTAAAAAAACACTCTCGTATGTATGTATGTGTGTGTGTGTGTGTGTGTGTGTGTGTATGTGTGTGTGTGTGTGTGTGTGTGTGTGTGTATAAATAAATATAAATATATATATATATATATATATATATACTTATGTATGTAATAAACTATATTATTTTCAATAAATTATAAACAAATAAGTAATAAATTAAATAATAAAAAATTTGGTTTAAGTGATAACATAAAAATAAATAATTTGGTTAAAATAAGTAGACAAATGAGTAAATAAATACAGTACAATCACAGCACTATAATGAGTATATATTAAAAAGAATAATAATGTAATGTAAATAAAATATAATAATGTAACTAGAGAAAGCAAATATTGTCAAAATAATGTTTTAGACATATTTATAATATTATTTTTTTTCACTGTATAAATTGGGTTTTTATACAAACTCTGTAGATGCCTTTTCAATTTTAGGATGGGGTCCTTTGCATGGAGATGATCACATTTGGGGGTCCGTGGCATTTAAAAGATTGAAAACATCTGGTTTAATATACTTTTTCATGAATTGTTTTGTCTTTCATAACTGTGTTACTGTTTACATTTAGCTGAAAGCATGTTTAATGGCAGTTTCCATTGTGACAACTTACCCCATAGTGTGACACCTTGCTGTTGCTCACCATATATTTCAATCAACTGTATATTTTTTCCTAGGCAGTGACAGGGGACATTCAGTTGCTTTTTTTGTTGTTGACAAGACTTCAAAGCATGTGTTTATATTGAAAATAGACCTACTTTGAGAAATGTGGACTGGAGTGAAAGTGTGTCAACATGCCTATTTTCCCCTAGCAGTATTTAGAAATGCAGTGGGCATATTTTTAAATTTAGCATCATGAGTGTTTATTGGAGGGATTTTGTTAGTGGGATATATTAATTAGTTCAATTTTGAGAAGAAAATTAATTTGTTCTTCTCTTAGGAATTAAGAGAAATGTAAAGGTATTTTATGTGCATATGTGTCTCATGAGAAGCAGTATAAGAGGTTAAAAACAGTGAATTTCACAAAAAAATCTAGATGGTGGTAACTGTTGCCATGTCTGCAGAAATCATTAGCCTAGATCCCTACATAGACTCATTAAGGGCCGCTGTCTGGCTTATGGCTCAGAGTCCGTCCCCACAGTCCATAATGAATGCTCAAAGCAGATTCCCCACTTCTGCACACAGTAATAGGATTGAATTTTCCAGAATAAGTCCCATGGAGGATGCCGGAAAAAACATAAACACAAAATATCAAACTTGCATGGCCTTAGCATGGTGCTGGGCGGTATACCGGTTCATACCGAATACCGGTGTTTATTTTTGTTATGATATCAATTTTTAAAATACCGCAATACCGGTGTATGTCGCTTAAACAACGTTCGGAACGCGACACTGTTTGAAAGGGGTCCCTTTTCACTGTTGCACTGTGGTGAGGGCACAGCTGTATGTGTTACTAAGCGTGAAAGTTCCGAAACTGAAGCTGTAGAACTAATAGAATGTGATTAACACCTGGTCATGCATGAAAAAAAAAATACTGTCATGTACCGTGAAACCGGTATAATTAAAAAAAAAATACCGTGATATAAATTTTTGGTCATACCGCCCAGCACTACCTTAGCAGTATGGCTTTTAGAGCGGCCGCCACAACAGAAACGCCTGTGGAGTGCAACACAACAGGGCCAAGATGAAGACTGCTCCTAGCAGAAGTGTGTGTAAAAAGTCTGCTTTTCTCATTGGAGTTGCTGGTGTTTATGAACTCTAATGATAAATTGTTATCTAATTAATAAAGCATGGACTTACTATAATCTCTATTGCAGATGTCTCTGAATCACCTAAATTTGAGTCACTTCTGATAGTGACATTAACAAAAACTACTATTGTACTTGGTTACTACTACCATTGTTTTTGGACATTGAACCTCTTGTGAAAGAAGTGTGCTTAATTGTATTGAATGTATAGAAGTATATTAAAAAAAAAACTGTACTTGCAGATCATTTAAATTCCACTTTAGTGGAGAGTATATTTGCGTGACTGTTTCAATTAAAAGTTCATTTAAAGTACATGATTTAATAATCTTTTATTGTGCTTCTAAGGGGTAGATTTAATTACTAACTTTTGTGTTATTCAATATTACATTAAAAGTCCATTTAAATTTGACATACAAGTTTCAGAAATGACAATAAAGTATAATTTAGTTACCAGAAATGCATGTCAGTACATTTGGCAGTAACCGTATTTCAAAGACAATTATGAAATTACATGTACTTACTGTAAGTCCTACTGTAAGTGGATCACAGAAACACTCTTAAGTTCAACTAATTGCACTTAATATAATTTAATAATACATCTTAATTCAATTGCAAACAACATTCAATTAACATTACATTCATTTGCCCTTCAGTAAATTCTTTTAACTTATATTAATTCCATAAAAAAGACTTGTTTTAAAAGTATGCTTAAGTGTACTTCTTTTTCACAAGGGACCATACATACAGTAACATGTATTTTGTATCCTGTGTTTTTCTCAACATATTGCATGGTAGTATGTAAATACCATGGTGCATGAATATGGTCCTCATGTAGTATTTATCAAAGTACTATGGTAGTTTTTATTTTTTTGTAAGGGTGATAATATCTCCCCATCCGTCACTGCTCTTCACAGCAGAATGAAACTGCTGATCAGCATGAGAAACAAACACAGGAAGAAGACGAGCCGAACCATTGCAAGGCATCCTTAGAATGAAAACAGAGTCTGGGGGATGTCTGTTCATCCAGATACTTTTCTCGGAAATGAAAAATAAACAAGGCCACAAACAGCTGTTTTGCGTGCCAGTAGGCCCTTATAACGACATTGTCCATGTCCTGTCTTTCCCTCCAGCCTAACATCTGTGACATACTGCACATACCACAACAGAGATTCGTTTCTGTTACACCACTGAAGCCTGAGGAGCGCTGGGAGTGTGTGACGTTCACATGTGACTCTGTGCACTGTTATTCTCTCTGTAAACTGTTATTACGGACCAAAAATGTCAAACGTTCATGTTATGTTACATATGAGGGACTCTAAAGGGAAATGATTACTTTCTTTGTTTCTTAAGATGGTAGCATCAGCTCATTTTTATATGAGTATGAGACCGATTGAATGAACCAGTTTGCAATTAGCCAACAACAACAATCCAGTTAGTTAATGATGGACAAAATCAAGTCCTGTTCAAATTCTGTCGATTTGAACGTTTGAAAGGCTTTTGTGAGTCGTGGTGACTCGCTGCCTCAGACTTTTCTCTCTCTGACCCCTCACTTCCTCTCTGTGTTTGTCGTGCCTTCGAGAGCCGCTTCCTGCCGCTGTCCTCCATCTAGCTGGGATGAAACGTGGGGATAAAACCTTTCCGTAACCAGGCAGCTCTTTATCAGCATGAGCTTTACAGAAGCAAGTGTGTGTGTTTTTTTGCTTTTGGCTCTGAACTGGCGGAGCCTGCAGGGAAAGGGTTTCCACTGACGCAGCAGCTTTTCGTAAGGTTAGGGGAATGTTTTTAAGAGTTTTCTGATCCTTTTGTAAATATTTAAAATGCATAAAAAGACAGCCATTATAAGTTAATGTTGGAATTAAGTGTTCACTACAAATGGACAATGATGGTCAGCTAATCATGCAACAACCAAATGGCTGTTTTTTCTCATTTATTTATTTCATTTTATAAGTTTCAACTTGTAAAAAAAAAAGAAAATAATATAAAAAAAGTTATTTACAATTTTTTTTTTAATTTGTACATTTTTTTTCTTCAATTAAAAAACGTCTTCACTTTTTATTTGATTTAATTTAATTGTAATTAATTTGTATAATTTGTTTATTCATTAAATATTTATTTCATTAATATTTTAGTAATTATTTAATTATTAATTTTGATTTGTAATGTTTTATTTTTAAGCAGGAACAGCAGGAATTGTACTGCATCTTTAAGACACATATTTCCTGCTGCTGAAAAAGAAAATGAACACACACACACACACACACACACACACACACACAAAGACATACTGAAAGGAAATGACCCGGGAAGAGCAGGAATCTACATCGCCTGTTGTCTGACTCAAACACTGAAGCATTATGGGGTGCCAGGAATTTCCTTCTTCTGAACTCAGACATCTGCAGTCACACTTCAGCGTCAGAAACAGAGCTGAATTTTCAGTCTGCAGATGTTGTCATCCTGATGCTGTTATTTTCTGTTTGTGTGCATCACGACTGCTTTGTTTTTTAGGCAAGTGCTCGTGACTCAGTTTTTGCAGGTCTATACCTGGGTGTTTACATGTGTGTGTAATTGTGTTTGGTTGCTACTCAGTGATTGCTGTCTGTATGTGTGTGTGTGTGTGACTCAATTCATGCATGCCTGTACCCGTCTGTTTGTGTGTGTTTGAGTCTATGGTGCTATACTGAAGATCTTCAGTAAATCAGATTAAGCGGGAGGTATAATGGGATTAGTCTGAAAACAGTGTGTCTCTCTCTTCAGGTTCCACTCGTTGGCCTCAGATCAGCCTGTTTGACCAAGCATTGATCCTGAATCAGATTTAAATGCACATTAAGTTATTCTTTTCACCTAAAGAAATTAATAGTACTGTTTTTGTTTTTTTTGACAAAACGTTTTACCCACTTCATGTAACCACCTGAATAATTACTTTTTCTCATTAGCCTCCAAATTCTTGGGACACTTTTGTGTAATCAATCACAATCTCTCTCTTTCTCTTTAGACTGTGTACCTGTGGAGTTGGAGGATCCATTCTACCGAGACCAGTATGATCAGGAGCATGTGAAGCCGCCCGTTGTGTCTCTGCTGCTTTCTGCGGAGTTGTATTGCCGTGCTGGGAGTCTGATCCTCAGGAGCGACGCGGCTAAACCCCTGCTGGGTCACAACGCCATCATCCAGGCCCTCGCTCAGAAAGGCCTCTACGTCACTGACCAGGAGAGACTCGTGACTGAGAGAGACCTCTGCAAGGCCCCCATACAGATGGCAAGTCATTTGGCACTACATCTTCATTTTTTCTGTTGCAGAACTGACATATATTCAGATTTAGAGTGTAAGGGTTTATTTTAATAGTGATGTGACCCTGCAAATGAATTCAAAAGACTGTTGCAATGCCTTCATAGTAATGTGTGCTAAGTAGAAATTCTCAATACATGGGCACTAGGGCTGTGCAATTTGGTGGGGAAAAAAATTGTGATTTAAACAAAGTTAAAAAAAAAAAAAAGCTTGTTTGTAGGGCTGCAATTTGGCCAAAAATTTTGAGTTATATATCAATCATAATTATTATTATTGTTTTATTATTGTCATTATTGAATACAATATTAAGTAAAATAAGAAACATTACTATTGTAATATTTAACTGTAAAATAAAAAGTCAAATATTTAGGTAAAACATGTAAAATTACAATACTAATATTTATGGCTGTCTTAATTTTTCATTTAGATTATCTTTGCCATCATCTAATGCTCACTTAAAGTTAATCTTTAAAAACACCAATAATTTAATAACATTGTTAAATGTAATATTTTGCAAATCTCAAAATTAATATACATTTTTGTACTGTGCATTATAATGTTGTTATTTCTAAATTCACTTAATTTAAAATGATTGTTTTTTGTTTTTAGCATTTAATTTTTTGATCATGTAATTATTAATTATTATTAATTATTTAGACAAAATAGGATAGAATTTTAATATTGGCCTATTAATTATTTATAATTATTGGCCTATTGTTATTAACCAGAATTTTTCATACTGTCCAACTAATGTTGTGATGTCTAAATTCGCTTGTTTTTAAAATGATTGATTTAAATTTGTTTGCTTTTTATTTTTTACTTAATTATTTTGACAAAACATAATATATTTGTAATCTCGGGCATAATAATCAGCATAGTGTTATCAACCAGAATTTTAATATTAGTGTATCCTTACTGACTGAAGCTTTCATAAGTCTGTCGTAATGCCTTTATAGTGATTTTCATAGAACAAGCAAAAAAAATTATGGGAATTATTTTGGTGTGGCTTAGTGCTGGGCGGTATGACCAAAAATTATATTTTTCAAAATTATACTGGTTTCATGGTACATGACGGTATTTTTATTTTTTTTCATGCATGACCGGGTGTTAACCATATTTTCTACTGATTGAGAGAGGAAATACTGCAGTATATTGACTTAGAATGCCCTGTTTTACTGTCATGATGAATGAATATTGTCAAAAAATACCACACTAAATAGTGACTAAACACGACCCCTTTTAATACATGTTAATCAGAAGTCACTATCATTTATAATCGCGGCATCGTCTGATAAAATCAACATGCATCTACACTAAAGAGCAGCTATGCGGTTGTTTTGGCTATATTACTTTTTTGTCTTCATGCAGCGCACTGCCTGCGTCTGAGTAACAACTGAAAAAAACAACAAACAAAAAAGTGCATGTGATATTAACAGACGAACTACCCTCATATTTATAATTCCAAACAATCAGTAAGCGACAGGTGCTAGGAAACGCTGTTTTGTACTCATTTATTGACGAGTCGGCTGCAGTGCGCGGCCAACTGAATGTGCTGCTTCTCTGCCGCTCACTGCACAGAACAGACGCCGAGAGAGGTGACACTTCTCCGGGAAAGTCAGACCTCGTGACAGCACTGGCGAAATCTTTCAACTGAACCATAGCTAAGGTTTATCCAAAAAAGTCTTTGATCAGCATCAGGTTTGTCAGTATGAATATTCTATGGAAAAAAGCCGCTAAAAGGGTCTGAAAGTTGCTAAATCTAGTGCTAAAGTTGCGCTTGTGTGTGTGTGAGACACGGGGGCTGATGGCAGGGGGCGGTGGATATTTGTGGTGGTCAAATGGATGAGTTCTTCTGTGTCATCACGTTCTATTAGTTCTACAGCTTCAGTTTCAGAATTTTCATGCTTAGTAACACATACAGCTGTGCCCTCACCACAGTGCAACAGTGAAAAGGGGCCCCTTTCAAACAGTGTCGTGTTCCGAACGTTGTTTAAGCGACATACACCGGTATTGTGGTATTTTAAAAATTCATATCATAACAAAAATAAACACCGGTATTCGGTATGAAATGGTATACCGCCCAGCACTAGTGTGGCTGTAATTTTGAGGTTTTCCTTCCTGTTACTCTCATAAGTTAGGGCAGTGATAACATGAATCTGCTGGTACTGAACTGGTAATGCAAACTGTGCTGTGTTTGGTGGCTGTGTGTAAGCTGCAGTGTGCACTTCATTTAAAGGTGTCATATGATGCGATTTAAATTTTTCCTTTCTCTTTGAAGTGTTACAAGCTCTTGGTGCATAAAGAAGATCTGTAAAGTTGCAAAGATTAAAGGCTCAAATCCAAAGAGATATTCTTTATAAAAGTTAAGAGTCAGCCACGCCTACCTAAAACGGCTCGTTCTAACACGCCCCCACATGTCTATGTCACGATGTGGGGAGATTTGCATAATGCCGCCCAAATGTTCACGCAAAAAAAGAAGCCGTAATTTTTATTCTCGCTGTAGTATTGTTGTTGCCGCCGCCATGTTGTGAAGGCGCTGTGTTTCGTTGTGAAAGTGAAACTACTTTGTTTGGCCTTCCAAAAGAGGACGATATCCGCTTCGTCATGCCTAGAGCTGATCTGTGCTGGTCGCTGAGGAAATACATCAACTTTGCACTGTGGATTGCCTTCGTCGAATCCGCCGGCTGCCTCTGCTCACTCTAGCCCCCGGCCTCTGCTCACTCTAGACCAACACCGCTCACTCTAGGCCACCGTGTGTGACGCTGTGTTTCGTTGTGAAAGTGAAACTACTTTGTTTGGCCTTCCAAAAATGGACACGACTAGAAATCAGTGGTTAAGTTGTATTTACAACACTGTTCCAGAACACTTCAACCCAAATATTCAGATGTGTGCAGCACATTTTATGGAGGACCGTTTCCTGATCCTGGTAGAGTAGACTACAATGCCGGCTGTTCTGACTCACTGACTGTAAGTACGTTTTTTTATATTTAAAGAGTTTTTATATTTTATATATTTAAAGCAAGTTTTTTGGGAAGTGTAGAGTAGGGCTTGTTGTTTGTCATTTCTCCGATCACAAATGCAGACATGGTTTTATGTTTACGCGGCGCGATGCAACGCAACGCATAAAAAGACTGTACAAGTCATTATAATCCATTATTATGTTTATAATCCATTATTACGCGTTTCAGAAAGGCGGGGCATAGAGGAGAAACAATAATG